TTTCGTGAGGACTTGGGCAAGTTGGTGTCCAGTGTGTCCAGCGTCTGGCCATGAGGTTCCTTGATGCAGCGCGGAAGTCCTTGGCAGCGTGGCAGGAGATTGGGGGCAGTTGATTGTAGAGAGGTTTGGGTAGGCACTAGCCTTGCAACTAGAGACACTCAGCAGGTGAACCCAATTGTGCAAGTGCTTGATCAAGAAACAATCCTTTGCAAAGAATGAGATGGCTCCATCCCCAGAGGATATCAAGCTCAGAATGCCCTTGTTGCGCTTTGTGCACGAAGGGTGTAGATACATGAACTGCAGATGCCTAGCTGCCTAACCAGATGCCTAAGCGACTTTGCGAAAGTTTGTGGCATTGCTACTAGGAGCAAGGACGCTACTAGGGATGCCAGGTCAAGTGAACTGAAGTGAACATTGCGGGATCTGAAGTGAACTTGTGGGTGCTCAGCGGGCAATTCTGGTGTCTAGGAGTCTCGACTGAAGCGAGCGCGACAAGAACTAGATGCTTGGCAGCTGAAATAGATTTTTTGAGGCACTGGCCATTGCTATTACTTTGGATGCCATCGCTACTAGGGTGGAGGCCATTCCTATTAGGTTGGAGGTGGGTGACATGTTCTTAATTGTTCATGTGCATCCGAACGCCAAAACACCCTCAAGGCATGGAGGGAGGCATTGATGTGTGGTTAGTTGAGGCAGCTTTGAGGTTCCCACAGGAACGATCGGACGCTACGTTCGGAGCAAAGGGCATCGCTACGAACGGAGCAAAGATGCTACTAGGGGCTCCTGGCCTTACTACTAGGAACAAGAGGACGCTCAGAAACAAGTCTTTGGCTCCCAAACGGCGATGGGGTGCACGGACCAAGGAGTTGGCCATGCGCTACTCCGATGAGGATTATCTGAAGGAATCCTTGGAGCTCTCAAAGACTGCTGGCATCGATGAGGCAGGAAGAGATCACATGTGCAACCACGGTTGCAACAAACGTGGCCGTCTTCGCTTTGTTCCTAGTAGCGTCCTTGTTACTAGTAGTAAGGCCACGAGCCCCTAATAGCTTCTTGTTCCTAGTAGTAGGGCCAGGAGCTACTAGTAGCGTCCTTGCTCCGTTCGTAGCAATGCGCTTTGCTCCTAGTAGCGTCCATGCTCCTAGTAATATGGCCAGGAGCCCCTAATAGCTTCTTGTTCCTAGTAGCAAAGACGGTCAGAACATTATCGTTTTACTTTGGTCGGTTGCTTCAGGAGACCATCGAGAAGGCGACGCGACAGCTGGCGCGCCTACGGATGGTGGATGAAGTGCACAAAATGCTGGACGCCTACGGGTCCCGCACGTCGGCGACGATTCAAAAAACACAAACACATAGCGATCGCCTCCAACCTAATAGGAATGGTCTCCACCCTAGTGGTCGAAGTGCAAGTCAACCACTTGTGCTTTGAGAGAACCATGGCTTTGGATGACTGCACGTAGTTTGTTGCCTACCGAACATAGTCTTGAATGGCAACTGATTAGGTTTGCTCTTTGGCTTAAAGGTTCAGGAGGTTTAGATCCTGTGTGGCTTGGGAGATGCTAACCTTGAAGAAATCAGCGTGCTTTGATTTCCAGTTTAAAAATGCCACCCATCTTGATTTCGTGGAACTATCGGGCCATTTTTACTCGTCAAACAGATAAAGAGATCTCAAAAAGCGTAATTTCTGGCTGGAGCATCAGTAAGGCCAGGAGCCCCTAGTAGCTTCTTGTTCCTAGTAGTACAGCCAGGAGCCCCTAGTAGCGTCCTTGCTCCTAGTAGCGATGCTTTGCTCCTAGTAGCTTCTTGCTCCTAGTAGCATGGTTGCCCATGCCCTTCTCCATGATGCTTTCCTTCATCCACAGCATTTCTTTGGGCAGGACAAGGCCATGGAGGAGAGTGAGTTGGACCCGCTGGAGACACGGCATGCATGGTATTTGTGGTGTCACGGCCCTTTGCTTTGCATGATCATCCTCACGTGTGGTCGCAATTCATTTATAGATGGGGATTGTTGGCAGGCTTCTACGTAAAGGACATGATTCTCACTCGGAAGCTACTTGTGGAGACCTATCCAAACAGCATTGCTTGCCAAGGCATTCCAGAGTTTAGATATGAGGTCAGTGTTGCTCCTGTAGTGAGTAAGCCCAGCAGAATGAAGAGACCAGGTGGCAAGCTCTGGATTTTGGAAGAACTGGCACAATTAAACGCATTGATGGGGCTTGTTTTGTCGAACCACCTCCGCAGAACAGATTGTCCTCTGTGGTTCCCTGAACCTTGTGGAGGTGGGGAATGAACTTATATTTCACGTTGTGGAAATCTGACGCAAAACATATTGGATCCCATAGTCCCAACGTGAGTCAAAACGAGTTCCCACAAACATGTTTTTTTTTTTCCCCATAGCTTTTCCCATGAGCGGTCATTCCAAGGACACTCGTGAACAACCAAGGGTTGTCAAAGCCAGACACGAGAAGGTCGTCAGCCTGTCCAATCCAAGGAGAAGGCCATCCAGACAGCCCACAGCAACTTCTTCGTCGAAGAGGAGTCTCCGAGAATAGGTAATGTTGGGATTTGATGGCTTGATGGCTCAAGTGGAGTTTACACCGCTCGATGTCTGGATATGATTGCTGCTGGGCTCGAGCCTTTCCTTTTGAAGGATGTATCCAACCTCCTTAATCAGCTTCTTCTTGCTTTCATAGGTCCAAGTCACAAGAGACTTCTTCCATGCGCTGGAGGCACCACAGTAAGTGACATCATAAAGCTTGAGATATCTTGAGATAATCAGATAGTTCTTCCTCGACACACGCTTCCCATGCTTGATGCTGGAGAACTGGCGTCTGGGCCAAAAGTGTCCGGGTGGAGCGAGCCTAAAGAAAGGTGTACATCCATGGGAGGTGACGTTTTTGTGCTAAGAACTTCATGATGGTCTTGTTGGTTTGGCCAGAGAGATAGGGAACACCTACCAAGTTTCAGAGCTTTCTCCATCCAAACAGTTGCTCTTAAGACAAACTCTGCAAACGGCAAACGAAGTGGACATACTTTGGAAGTAGATTTCGCTTGAGGCATCTCCAAAGGCATCGACGATCAAGAACCTCTTCTGTTGGTACGAAGCCAAACCGTCGAATTTCTAGTGCTGAAGGAAGAGACACAACTCATTCTCCATTTGGCAAGTTGAGCTATGCCTCCAACCTTGACAAAACTTGAGAACGAGCCCAGGATCCCAAGGATTTTCACAAGTCAAAGGGCGCTCTTGTTGGTTTTTCCGTTCTAGGCTGTGGTATTTTTAGGGTTTTCCACTCGACTGACTAGCTCCATTCAGCCGACACGGTCCTGAAGGTGTTGGTTTCGCTCTGCGGCGTATCACTACTGGTGCATGTGATCTTGGGCTTATGGCGGATGCCCAAGTACCTCGGTGACCGTGGGGGGCCAGAATTTCATTCTGGTTTGTTCGATAGGTTCCCTCCTAAACAGCAATCCGCAGGCTTGGAAAAACCTGCGCCATGTGACTTCCACGTGAGACGAGCTCCGAGTTCCGTGTCGAAGTCGCTGTTTCACCTTAGCAGCGATGGCCTCCACCCTGGGTTTGGCTGTTTCACAGCAGAGTCATGTTCCTACGTGTGGTGGTGAGGATGGCACCAACACTACCAGCACTTTAGAGCCTTTTCAATCCAATAAAGGAATAACACCAACAAAGAAACGATATATGCTAGCTAGCAGGAAGAAAAAGGGCACAAGAACAAAAGGTAAAGCCCAGAAGCAGGCCCATGAAGGCGCTAGACTCCTAGACATGAGAGTCTGACGTTGGAAGACGCAAGGTTCTAGAGACATGTTCGCTTTTGCAGTCTTGAGGCTCGGGAGGCCAATGGCCACACACTGTGGCCATTGGCATAGATGATGTGGAAACACATCTGCTCAGCCCTCACCGCACTCGTGGTCGGATGGCCATGGAGCGCTGAGCTTCTGGTGGACCTGGGGACCTTGGAGGACACGGACAACGTGACCGAGGAAGACCTGGGAGTGCCGCTGGATGATGAGGCCCACCAGGAGGAGATCTTTTGGTGGGCCGAAGGCGCCATTTGGGGCTTTTGGAAGCCTGCTGGCAGCCTGGTCTCGAACGTCTCTTGGTTCGGGACGCCTGACCGACCTGGCAGATTACGTGTGGATGGAGGGTGGGCCGGCTATTTCATCGATGGGATTGGCGTGCAGGCCTTTGGAGCTTGGTGGCCCTGGACGGCTTGCATCATCATGGCGACGTTCAACACTGGACTACTGGGCATCCTGACCTACAGCATCCACACGCTGACAGGACCATGTCGGGCGATCGGACGAGGAGTTCAAGCTCTTTGTGGAGTATGCTGTTGCCGGCGCCGTGATGGGCTTGAAGCACACCTACCGAGCGCACGGCCTCCGATGGTGGACATTGAATGGCATGGACCAAAGACTGGTTGGCCCACTGATACCCGCTACCTGCAACAGCGATTGAAGGGTAGGGGGAGCAGGAGGCGCCTGAATGATGTTGTGATTCGAAGAGGAGGTCATGTAGCCCGCTTGCAACAAGAAGAAAGCCTCCTCAAGCGGATCGACAGCGATGGGCTCAGGGTCAAATTCAGTGGAGTGTCAAGCTGCACCTCGAGACAGTTTCGTCGTGAACTGGAGGAGGCAGGCGAGATTCATCTTTGCAACTTGAATGCCGAGCAGAGCACACCCTTCACATCCAGGAGTTCGCTGGCATCGATCACGAAGCGTTGCTGGACTTGCATCGTTATGCCCATGGTTCACCGCGCTGGCTACTGGGGCTATGTGGTCGAGGAGTCTGGCGCGTGATTGGCTTCGTTGCTCGTGGGGCCCGCTGCTGTTTCCGGCTTTGTTTTGTGAAAAGGGTGAGCCGAGTGATAAGAGATGAGGAGGGCCGTGAACGTTTGTTGGACCCTGACTCCGAATCCGAGGTGGAGGGTGACGAGGCATCATGTCAAGGAGTGAGGATAGGCCTTGTGGTTGATGGAGAGATGAGGCCTTTAGCTCCAGACGGCTGCAACGACCTGGCTACCCAGGAGGAGACGACCCTCTTGGACGAGGACGTGGAGGTCTCAGATGTCAGGCCACCCGGACCTGGGCAACTGGTTCGAGTTCCTCTATGTGCACATCATCGCCAGGTCTACCAAAGCGCCTCAGCTAAAAGGAAGTGTGGCGTGCTCACTTGTCACAAGGCTTCCAAAGGTGCACGGCATGGTGTCCCACTTTGCTATGATCATCTATGTGAACAAGGAGGAACAGGTGCGAGAAAGGATAGCCCACACCCCAATGGGATGTTGCAGGGATTTCGTCGTCGCTTCACACGCAGAGCACAGAGCCGGAGCCGCAGTCCAGCGTTCGAATGTCAGCAAGCTAGCGTGCCCCCAGCTGCAGCAGAAGAAGGACCATCGCAACATGCTAAGAAGGAGAGTGGCATGGCACCAGCCCGGTCAAGCTCAGTGGACTTGGGGAAGGTGATGATTCCATCACCACCACGAGGTGGCTTGGAGCAGGAGGACGTCATGGGCAAGCCTGTTTGGTTGAAGCTGAAGCTGAACTATGTCAACGACCAGTCAGACTGGATCATGTGCATGGGAGAGCTATGCGGATATACACCAGGTGGAGTTCGTGGAGATCGAAAGCTAGAGGTCTTCGTGAAGTACCTGGACAACACCTTGGTCATCGACCCAAAGTACCTCGAGGACATGATGGATGCGAAGGGCATTGAAGACTTGGATGCAACGAGGGCGCAGCTCTTGGTGAAGGAGGTGCCACCCGATGCAGAATGCCTTGGACTGGACATCAAGGGGTACCTGATTCCAGAGATCCTCATGCAACGCCTCGCAGCTTGGGAGGGCCGCACTGTTGCAGGTGGGAGGCGCCTGAACGATTCGCAGTTGAAGGAGGTGAAGAAGAACTTGGCAAGCCTGGTGAGGAAGCACAGTGCCGGCTATGTTAAAGGGGAGCTTTGGCCTAGCTGGCCAGCGGAAGCCGAACTGGGAATCGACAAGCAAGTTCGTGGGCGCGATGATGACCACCAAAGGGAGAATCTGGCACCAAGAACCAGATCGCGGAGCAGAAGCCATAGCCTTGCCCGAGCGATGAAAGAGGAGGACGATCTCAGGAGCAAGCTGGACCGAGACACAGCGCTTGATGGTGACACTGAGGAGATGACAGGCGAGGGCATCGTTGAGGCCTACCTGACCGCCGTCAACTCCGGGCAGACGCAAAAGGAGGCGATCGACGCGATCCAGATGATCTTTGAGGTGGACATGCAGACCATCGGCAGCACGATGCGGACCTACATCAGGAAGAACTGTGGCAAGCAGAACGAGCAGGTGGAGGTGGCCATCAAGATCCTTAAGGGGATGAGCGAACAGCAGAGCGCAAGAAGCGCCAGAGAAGATGGAGCTTACCATGAAGCTCGTGCAGAACAACCGAAACCACAGGAGAAACGGAACCCTAGCACCCCGGACAAGCTCTTCCCGGCTCACTATGGCGAGAAGAAGGAGGAAGGTAGCCTCATCCGCCCCGCAGAGGAGACCGGCAAGTACAATCCACTGACAGCCAATGACAGCATCGTGGGGCAGCTATTCGGCATGGGTGGCAGGGTTGAGGAAGTGTCAACACGAGCCGGAGCTGGAGGCGACGAAGAGGAGACCCACATGAGCGCTCGAGTGGTACATGCACTCGAAGGAATCCGGAAAGCCACGGAGGGCGACAAGAAGGGCAACCCCGGCACTCGGAGTGCCATCGGGTCAGAAGAGAGCCTTGACGTCTATTTGGCCCGAGGTTGCAACACCTTGACTGTGGAGGTATGCCCCGACGTCACCGGCAAGGAGCTCTTCGACGCCTTGAAAAGAGCGTGTTCACACGCTAAGGCACGAACGGGTGGCCTTGCTTGGTCACGAACGGGATCGCTTATGGGCTAGCAGCGATGCAGCATGGTGGGAAGGATCATTCGACGCTCGCACCTTGGCAGCTCAGCGTCGCCCATGCCGTGACTGCAAAACCACGGGATTTCGATCAGTATGAGGCACCGAAGGACGACAAGATCGAGCCTAAACCCCGGTACCCAACTCACTTTGCCACCTGTGGTTGAAGCAGGCGAGGAATGAGATCAAGATGATCGGCTCAGTCATCGGCCTGGAGCACAAGAAGGAGCGCATCAAGGCCCTTGAGCAGATCGAGAAGGCCCACGAGCAGGATTCGGACGTCTGGCCTGAGAGCTATTGCTACAGCTTGTGGGAGGAGCTTAAGGCAGCGTGGGTGGAGGAGCTTCGCGAGAGTCGAAGACAACTCTGCAGGATCCTGAACACCGACAATCCCCGCAAGGAGGACCTGAAGTTCGTCGCCTTGGCACCAGACAGCGGCTTCCATTTCCCAAGGACCTTTGACCTAGCACATCCTGAAGGCTATTACCAGCAGGTATGCGTGCCTAGACAGGCGCGGGCGCTGAAGGGCATCATCTATGGCCAGCTGCACCACAAACGCCAAGCACCAAAAGTCGGAGGAGATCATGCCCCGGGTGAAGGAGAACCTCATGGCGGAGAAGCTGGCGGAGAGGAAGATCGCGTTGGTCGAGGCCGCGAGCGTGGCAACGACAAGAACGACAAGAAGAAGCGGGAGAAGGAGAAGGACGAGAGGAAGGCATATCCAGCTGGGAAGAGGTTGCGTCCTCGTGAAGCCGCCGAATCAGTGAAGCATGGGCCACGGACCAAGGAGGGCAAGCCTATTTGTTGGGATGGAGCAACCCACATGGGGTGCAGCAGAGGCAAAGACTGCAACCACGCCCATCAGCCCATCAACACCACCAAGGGTTTGCATTGGACCGTGCTGGCACAGCTCATCCGAAGAGGAGGACTGAAGAATGGACCCATGATTCAACCAGCGCAGGTCGACGGGCGCATTGCTCAGCTGAGAGCACAGGCCAAAGCAGAGCAGGACGAGAAGGTGAAGGATGGCGCTGGACAGAAGCAAGGGTGGCTGCCCCCGGAGGAGTATGAGGACATCCAGTACACCCAACTTGAAGATGAGCTCAGGGAGCTGACTCGTGGTCCTGATTGAGGATCCTTGAGGAGCTGGAGAAAGGCGGTGCATTTGCGAGGCTCGCTGGCTGGTCAAGTTACCTTCAATCTCATGTAAGAGGTCGGATGCTCAACGCCATCATCGAGAAGCAGGAGATGACAATTGACGAGGTGCTCCTGGAAGCGACCGAGAAGGGATGCCCTGAGTTAGCCCAGGAGGCGGAGAAGGTCTTGGGAGAAGAGCGATCCGTTGGCTGGGTAGACGAGGAGCGCCAAGCATGGGTCAGCCCCACAGTCTGGCACAAAGAAAAGGGGTACGGCGAAGGCAAGTTCGAGTTCCAATGCGGACCAGAAAGGCGCTGCTGGCGCTATCTGGACTACAAAGACCGGCTACCAGTACCTGATGAGCTAGCAAGTGCACTTGGTTTGCAGCCTGGAGATGAAGAGGAACGACAATGTCTGGTGCTACATCCCGCAGCTGGCATCCTGCTTTGGGGAGGAGATTGGGACCCGGAGCGCGTGCCATCGCTGGAGGAGGTGAGGCTGAAGGCACAATCTTTCCGGGCTGGACTATGGGATGAAGCGGCTAAAGCCATCGGTGAGCTTGGAGACCCAGCACCCTGGATAGGAGCACGCGAGGCGGAGGTCCGAGGCTTCGCTCATGATTGTCTTCGGGCCCATCATGACAAGGACTACCGGTTGTTTCAGGCCTTCGTCCTGGAGGAGCTGAAGGAGGTGACACTGCAATGTTGGAGATTAAACTGCAGGGGTCAAGTCCACGTGGACCACCTTGTCGGGAGTGCACCAGGCAGTGAGAACAACATCATTCCCTTCCTGATCCATGGGGGCCACATTAGACTGCTCGTGCCCATCGAGAAGGAGGAGCCGGTGAAGGTGGCGGCGGAGCTGACTCTGAGTGGACAATCCGACCGTGAATGGCCTTGTGAGGGCTGGCGGGAGTTTCTCGCAAATGAAGATCCGGCAGCGCCTCTTGTACCTGGCAAGAGACCCAAATGCCCTCGTTGTCAAGACAACAACCCAAAACAGGGAAAGGCAGCGCCTCAAGTCCCGTGGAGCTTCAATGAACACCCAGTCGACACGCAGGAGCTGATTCTGATGGGGGCACACTCCCCATTGAAGCACAGGCCCGCTTTCGCATATGGCATCAGGGTGCAGGAGGTCTTTGCAGGCTCTGGATCTTGGACCAAAGCTATGAAGGAAGCAGGACTGGCCGCCAACGAGCCCATCGAGCTCTTCAGTGACCCCCTACAGAAGAAAGGACGTCGCGAGCAGTTCGATCTCAAGGACGAGAAAGTGGCAAACTTCTACCTGCAGGCGACGATGGAGCTCCCAGGACCATCAGCAGCAAACGTTTGGGAATTTGGAACCCCTTGCACCAGTTATTGCGACTTCAACATCCTCAACGGGGGAACTCGAAGCTTCAGTTCACCCGAAGGAGGTCCGCACCCCACGGCAAGCGAGCAAGAGGGCAACTACTTCTGTGACCTCACCTGCCGGATGCGCGAGTCACTTTACCACCACGACAAGGAGTTCATCCTGGAGTCTTCGATGCCATCCGGAAGATACCCAAAAATTTGGGATCAGCCTGCCATTCAGCGCTTGCAGCAATCTACAGGAGCACTCATCGTGCCGACCCACTTGTGCGAATGGGGCTCAGCGCCGACTGACCGGCCGGAGATGAGGTATAAGAAGGGTCAGTGGAACCTTGTGTCCCCTGGCTTGTACCTGCATGCACTGCTCCTTTCCCGTCGTTGCCAAGGGCAACACAGACACATGGACGTGAAAGGTGAGTCTGACCTACCTGGAGTTCCCCGCACTCGAAGAGCACAGGTGTATCCAGCGAGACTATGCAAAGGTTGGGCATTGGTGGTGCAAGCGGCTTATGCAGGATGGGACACCATTCAGGTGGCACAGGCACTGGAGGTGATTCAGGAGAGTGATGGCCGAGAAGGGGAGATCCCACACAAAGCAGCAGGGGCAAATAGACACCAACATGCTGGACAGTCTGACCCCTCACATCAAGCGGCTCCCTCACATTCCACGGCAGCCTTCTCATTTTCCGAACGATGTGGAAGTGCAGAGATCGATGAGTTTCAGGAAGGGTTTGGTCTTCTTCGTGGACACCATTGTGGCAGCATCGGCGAGGGTGAGTTCAGCCATGGCATCCCTATCCCGGAGGACCCACTGGAGCCTGAAGGTGAAGAAGAGGAAGAGGAGGGGGCCACCAGTGATGAAGATAGGCGTATGAACCCTCGTGATGAAGCCAGAGTCATGGCACGGCTCGTTCCTAGAGAAGTCAGCCCAGGAGATGTGGCGGAACCAGTACGCCCATACGAAGGGAACATCAACATCTTCGGGCCACCACGACCACTCGAAGGGCTCGACGGACGCTCTGAGGATTGGTGGGACCTTCAAGAGGACAACCTATTCCTGGTACGCCACCACGTGATGCCTCGCACCCACTTGTTTGGATCGCACTATGGCGACTGGACCGACTGCCCGGTTTCGGACCACCTCATTAGGAGTGATCGCAGGACATGGATGTACCCGCAGCGGAGGGAACTGTCGGAGATCGCCCCGCACGAGAGAGTCTTCCTGGACAACTGGAGGGTGGACCTGGCGAGGCTTCGTGACATCCCCGACTCGATCGATGCGGAGTACGCCGACTGGACTGGAGCAACCACCTTCTACCTGTACGATCCTTTGATCAGGCCAGAGCTTGGACCACACTTTGAGCGTGGACAAGAAGAAAGAGGCGAGACCGATAGCCCGGCACCCGAACCTGAAAGTGAGCTGCGGCCTACATATCCGGAGGGAAGAGACTACCAACCAGTCTTTCACCCGCCCAGGGAATTCCCAGTGCCAACGCGGGAGCAGGTTGCGGACGCGAGACGGTACTACCCTGGAGGAGGTGTTTGGGATCCCTGGAATGGAGGACGCATTGAGGGTGATGACGCAGAGCAGGCGGAGGAGCAGCCGGGCAGCTCATCGGACCGGAGACGACGGTCAAGGTCGAGGTCAAGGGGACGCGGGCCAGATGCTGATGACGGAGCAGAAGAAAGACGGGCGGGTTACCTATCAGCATCCTGCATTCTTGAGGCCGAAGAGACGGAGGGCAATCGCTGGATGATGCGGGAGACCATCGAGGACGAGTACCACGTGGGAGCGCCTGTCTACTCCGAGAAGGACCAGAGTGTCAAGGAGGAGGTTCTGGACAAGGCCCTTTGCTATGTGCACCACTGCAGGGAGCACCCCAAGTACGAGCCCAATGTGATCAAGCAGGCCGTCGAATTGGGCGATGACCTGTTGAGGACCGCTGGGACACTCGAAGAAGCCATGCGAGGTCTGAGGGCAGCAAGAAGGCAGGTGATTGGGGTCCCAACGATTGGTGCCACTTCCGAAGAGGTCCTGAGATGCTTGGAATCTGACCATGCACAGTACCTTAAAGCGGCCAACAGGGATGGAGTCCGGACTCGCCGATACTACCCCGCTCGGAGGTTGAAAGCAGAACCCTATCCCTCAGCCATCGAGCACCTCGAAGAGATGTACCAGAAAGCTTGGAAGGATGGACACTGGGGGATCGTGCTCTTTGCATCGGATGCGACAGAAGACTGCACCAGCAATCTCATCGAATGCCCCCAAGGTCGAGTACCAAAGCAACTGCCAGATCGTAGCATCAGTGCGGAGGGGCGCCCGATTCACGCTATGATGACGGCTAATGCAGCGACCCACAAGTACCAGCATCCGCCAGCAGTTCAACCACGGCATCGTCAGATTGCTCGCAAGGCCATTTGGTGGAAGGCCCGAAATCCGGGCATTCGTTGCTTGATCGCAAAACTGGATGTGAGCAGGGCTTTCAAGTGGCACGCCGTGGCGCCCGAGGACACCGCGGACTTCGGCAGTGCTCTGCCCGGTGAATTGGTGGGAGTCGAGGGCAGGGTGAAGCTGGTTTACGGTGGCCTCCCTTTCGGTTGGTGTGGCGCCCCGGGAGAATACATGGCGTTCGCCCTCGCTGGTCGAGCCTACCATGAGAGCTTTAAGCCGGAGATGGAAGGCGTCAATGGACCCACCCCGTTCTCTTCTGAGTGGCTAATGGATGACAGCGTGATCGTGGAGCCTCTGATGGGGGTGAGGCCGTGGCAAGCAGTTGACGCGTTGGGCCACTCCATCGAGAAGATCTGGGGCAAGGCGGCGTTGAACCTCGACAAGCAGATTGAGGAGGGGACGCCTGCGTCCGAGCAGATCGTGTGGGGCTCTATATGAATGTGGAGAACATGACCATCAGGCTGCCTGAACCGAAAGCCTTGAAGATGCGTTACCTGTTGGCCTTGCCGGAACTGCAGTATGGGGTGCGCCAGGTGCGGCTGAAGGTCGCTCAAGAGCTGCGCGGACTCAGTCAGTATGCGGCAATCACCATACCCCCTTTGCGGACGGAGCTCGGCACCTTGGATCTTTTCCTATGTCCAAGCAAGTGCGTGGGGGGCTACATCCAGCCGAATGTCAAGGATGAAAACGCCTCAGAGTCAGCGTGGCGCTGTTGGGATGAGACGTTGGCGCTCCTACGGCTTTGGTTTGAGACCCCCTATGAGGGCAGCTTCGAATCGTCGATGGAAAGCATGCTGTCCACTCGTGAACTACTCGCTCTTCCAGGTATGAGCAGCAGGCTTCGATGGGTGGGTGGGGATGCGACTCCAGACGTAGCAGGCGCACTTGACTGGAAGGGCAAGCGCTACATGAGGGAGGATGCCAAGGTGATGCTCCATGCATTAGGTAGGGTGCCCGAGCTTGAGGAGGAGCCCAGCATGAAAATAGCACTTGCAGAGCTTCTTTGCTTCGTGGGGCTGGCCGCAGCAGAGAGCAGCTCTTGGCATGGGGAGATAATCGCCTACGCCACGGACAACCAGAACGTCAGGTCGTGGTTGACCAAGCGGCAGTCTAGATGCACGGTGGCACGGCACATCCTCCGGGTCTTGGGAATGCTCGAGGTGCGATTCCACTTCAAGACATTGGCGTTCTACATCAGGACCTATCACAACATCACAGCGGACTGGCTGAGCCGAGAGACGAAGATGGACGAAAGTCGAGGCGCAGGAGAAATGGGAGTCCTACATCGAGGAGTCCGTGAACGGCATCTTCAGATGGCCTGGAGGGGCATCGCTGGGAACTCTGAGGCAGGAGGGGGAGCGCCCCTCTCAACCTTATCGTCCAGTGGTGGCAAAGGGAAACGCTATCGAGTTGGGCAGGGGGCATCTGCCATGGGTGATAGCGTGGTCACGTTTGGGAGGCCGTGTTTGTCGACTACCAGGCAACCGAGATCAATGTGAAGCAGCGATTGAGGGCTCCAGCCTGAAGGGGACAGAATGCCTACAGTCGGAGGAGGACCTCACTTGGGTTTTCGCCTCGATTGCCGAAGATAGCTGGGGGGGAACGCGTTCCTATGTCAGACAGTTTGTCAAGGAGCATCGTCCCTCGAATGCGCTGATCGACCTGGCGAGGGAAGGCCCAGTTCGTGAAATGCAGGCGGACTTTAAGAAGCTCGGCTATGTGGTGAATGTCAACGAGTACCTGACCACCCACTTTGGGGATCCCGTGGCCAAGCGCAAGTTCGTCCTGGTTGCTCATCGAGGCTCACTGGCCAATGATGCGACCTTCCCGGATGAAGCTCCTCGGAGCGCCGCAGAACCTGCGAGCATCAAGCGCGCCCTGGACTCGGCAGCTGGAGCGGTGAGGCAGGAATGGTTGGCCAGCGACGTTGAGGTGACGCTGAACAACAAGATTTCTACTTCTGGGGACCGCACGCTGCCATGGCCTGCTGGCCATTACAAGGAAGGGGACAAGAAAGAGCTCCCCTACGACATCCGGGGCCCCGCATTAACTTGCAGGAAAGGGAGGTCTATGGTTGTCCTTGACCATCGTGGTGAGGCGGTCCAGGCGCGAGCAATCAGTGCAGAAGAGGAATGGCTCCTGAATGGTGGGCGCCTTGAGGAGCTGCATCTGCTTCGCGAAGCCGGAGCAAAGGTGAACTTCTTCAAGAAGGACGCAGCCATGAAGTTTCCGCAGCAAAGCGCCCATCACCTACTGTCCTGGTACGAACGCTGGCGCCAGGGAATCAGTGAGGGACCTGAGGCTGGAGGGAGAGTTGGAGTTTGTCGCGACCCTGATCGAGTCCATGCTGACGAACAAGTGCGTGCTTGGATGCGAGCTTGGCAGGGAGACAACCACAACCCCAGGGCCAACTACGAGAGATGGCTTGCTGCCAAGAAGGCCGACTTAGAGGGTGACCAGAAGGTCGGAGGGAGGAGACAAACCACCAAGAGGGCGAAGTCAGGGCCTCCGGACCGATTGGTCCTCCCAAGCGCGATTGGTCGTGGTCGAGAACGCCTACAGCTTGATGCTAATCGTGAGCTAAGGCGAGATCAAGCATGGCTCGACGCCTTGGCTGCGGAGGCGGTGATGTCCAAGCTCTCGGAGGGCACGCGGGCTGGCTACGAGGTTGGCTGGAAGCAATGGTGCTTGTGGCGCCGGATGGGTAGAAAGGATGTGTACCTCACCGGCGAGAGCAAAGAGGACCGCAAGATCGATGAAGATGAACTCCTTCGATTCATGACCTACTTGGCGCACGTCATGGGCAGGACTGAGGGGACCATCAAGCAGAGGCTGTTCGCCATTAAGATGGGCCATCTGGTGGCAGGGCATGAAGATCCCACATTGCACAAGGTGCGGATCTGGGCAGCTCTCAACGGCTACAAGCGGTGGCAGCCTGAGACAAAGCGGAAGTACCCAGTACTGCCGGCTATGCTGCTGTGGATCAAAAAGCATTTGAGTACCAGCGAGACCCTGAGCAGAGTTGACCAGGCGATCCTTTGGGCTGCGATTATGGTGGGATTCTTCTTCTTGCTGCGAGCCTCGGAGTTCTTGGTCACTATGGGGCGATCATGCGGGACCTCGAGGACCTTGAAGGGCAATGACATCGAGGCACGAAGGGACAACCTGCAGGTCATGAACTTCCACCAGGCGGAGGAGATCGTGATCTACCTCAAGGGCTCCCAGACGGACCAGTACAATCAGGGCACTGTCCGCAACCAGTTCAGAAGCGGCGACGAGCTCTGTGTGGTGACCGCGTTGGCCAACTACCAGGCTATGAAACCTGAACGTTTTGCAGGTGCTGAAGCAGATCAGCCCTTGTTCAGATTGGAGAATGGAAAACCCTTGCAGAGGACCGACATCCAGGGCCTGATACAGTTGGCAGCGGTTGCAGATGGTCAATCTACGACGAGGTATGGTTCGCACAGCTTGCGCATTGGTGGCGCCACAGCCATGTACCAGACCACCAAGGACCTGGACATCGTGAAACGTTTTGGCAGATGGAACTCCGACGCCTTCCACGGCTATCTGTGGGAGTCGCACGAGCGCCAGAAGGATCTGGCAAAAGGCATGGCCAAAGCGGATGGCCAACTACTTGCCCCGGAAGAACAAGGGGTTTGAGAATTCGAAGAGTCTCAATGAGAAGACGGTTTTTGATGGAAAGGAAGCCGCACCAGCACCAAGGGAGCAGATGGAGAAGATCGGCTACGATGGGACGATGCAAGCTTTAGGCTCACCTGGCGACGAAGAGCGCAGGATGCATGGCTACAACGTCCAGAAGATGACCGTGAAGAGCTCCAAGGTGCACAAGGTCGCTTGCTTCCCAATGACACAGTGACGGCCATATGGGCTGCGAAGCACAGAGACTTCAGCTCTGCAGCAAAAAGAATGCTGTCACTGAAGTGTATGCGAGAAGTCGTTAGAACATGAGAGTCTGACGTTGGAAGACGCAAGGTTCTAGAGACATGTTCGCTTTTGCAGTCTTGAGGCTCGGGAGGCCAATGGCCACACCCGGCCCACCCACCCGTGGCCATATGGGCTGCGAAGCACAGAGACTTCAGCTCTGCAGCAAAAAGAATGCTGTCACTGAAGTGTATGCGAGAAGTCGTTAGAACCTTGATAGTTGCACTTATTTTTCTCTCGAGGTCGTGGCCTTAGCTCCCGTGCCGAGCGGATCAGGTCTCTGACTGTCACTTCTCATTTTGTTGTTTCCGTCGTTTCTGTCTTCTCTTTTCTTTGTCTTCTCGCTTCTTTTATCTCCTATCTTCATTCATGTTGCTTCTTTTTTTCGATGAGCCAGAGTGCTTTTCCTTGTTGCATCATCGCCACTTGATCCTGCAGTCGACCTTGAGGCAATGGAGATGGTGCAGTGGTTGGATCAGGCTCTTGCTCCCCGGCTCTGCAGATCCCATTCTACCTAAAGACCTATTCACCTAAAAGCTAGGAGCCCGTAGCTTCTTGCTCCTAGTAGGAAGGCCAGGAGCCCCTAGTAGTGTCCTTTGAGACAAATGGATTTGTTTACCACCAACATTTTCCCTTCACCCACAGCCAGATCTTCTCCAAACAAAAATTGCTTTCCGAGGATCACTATCCAAATAGATCCAAATGTCAAGTCCTTGTCCGAGGATCTGGGGCGTGCAAGTGGAGGAAGGCCTTGACACGGCCGCCAGCTGAGTTGACAAGCGTTTGTTTGTTTGTTTGTTTGTTTGTTCTACACGCTGGTTGACAACGGGGTCAAGATCACCAATCCGCGTCCTGCTTTCCTACAGCGACTTGAAAAACTGTTGAAGCACATGCTGTAAGGGCCAGGTTGAAGTTGAAGAAATGCCCGTGCCAGCGTTGAAGCATGGTGCGGGGGATCGCTGTAATGTAAAGTCATGGTTAATAAACCTCCCATAGTTAATCCGAGCCCACAAACAGGTCAATATTTCGTATTGCTACTACTACTACTACTACAACTACCACTACCACTACCACTACTACTACTACTACTTCTACTACTAGTACTAGTACTAAGTACTAGTACTAGTACTACTACTACTACGACGACGACTACGACGACTACGACTACTACGACTACCACGACTACCACGACTACCACTACCACTACCACTACCACTTCTACCATCTTCTACCACTACCACTAGCACTACCACTACGACTACTACTACTACTTCTACTTCTACTTCCACTACGACTACTACTACTGCCACCACTACTACCACTACCACTACCACTACCACGACGACTACTACTACGACTACGACTACGACTACCACTACCACTACTACTACTACTACTTCTACTACTACTACTACTACTACTTTCACTTCTATTTCTACTACTACTACTACTACCACTACTACCACTACTACCACTACTACCACTACCACTACTACTACTACCACTACTACTACTACTACCACTACTACTACTACTACTACTACTACTTCCACTTCTACTTCTACTTCCACTACTACTACTACTGCCACCACTACTACCACTACCACTACCACTACCACGACGACTACTACTACGACTACGACTACGACTACCACTACCACTACCACTACTACTACTACTACTTCTACTACTACTACTACTACGACTACTACTACTACTACTACTTCTACCACTACCACTACCACTACTACTACTACTTCTACTACTACTTCTACTACTACTACGACTACTACTACTACTACTACTTTTACTTCTACTACTACTACTACTTTTTACTACTTCTACTACTACTACGACTACTACTACTACTACTTTTACTTCTACTACTGCTACTACTACCACTACTACCACTACTACCACTACTACCAGTACCACTACTACTACTACTACTACCACTACTACTACTACTACTACCACTACCACCACTACTACTACTACTACCACCACCACTACCACTACCACTACCACTACGACTACTACTACTACTTCTACTACTACTACTTCTACTACTACTACTACGACGACTACTACGACTACTACGACCACCACCTGCCACCTACCACTTACTACCTACTACTTTTTGATGAATTCAGCCCAAATGTTGCCAGCCAATTCCTCTCATGCCTTGGTTCGTATGAACTCATTATTGCTTCCTATATGGACTGGCTTCATGCTCATCAGTTCATCCCCTCAAAGCCTGGTATCATCCTTCATGGTCCTATGGTCTCATAACACATTATTCAGGGGAGGTGGACCTCATGACTGGTATCTCATATCTTCTTGACCTTGTTGACCTACCATGTGGGTGGGGTTTATTAAGGACTTGACATTAACTCCCGACCTCACCCAGATCCGGTGAGGTCGTCAGGGTTTAGGCTACACCGCTGTCCAAAAAGCGAGGCCGTGGCTGACAAGCTCCGGAACACCCAAAAGCAACTTGGGCACCGTGGCAGACATTCCGAAGACGGAGATTTGGGGTTTGCAGCGAGTGACTTCAAGGTCCACTTGAAGGTCCACATCCACCTAATAGCAATGGCCTCCACCCTACTAGCGATGGCCTCCACGCTAAGAGTGATGGCCTCCAACCTAGAAGCGAGGTCCACATTTTTCCGCATGTCCACGGAACATGTCACAAACATGAGCAAAGTTCCCGGCGCTTTGAAACACAGGACAGGCATACAGCTGCAAATCTTTTATCCCTGTTTGAAGCGCAAAATGCATCTTCAGGGCAACAGGCTTTTGCAAAGAATTTGCTGACTTCGATAATTCAGTAGCGTTCGTTATGATTCAATGGAATGATCTAGAATGCACTGGTTGCGTTTGTGTGGTGATGCATTCAGGCTTGCATTTAGGTTTGGCTCTTGTCCAATACCTTTTCAACAAAAACACTTAATTAACCCAACTGAAGGGATTAAAAAGACATCCAAGGACCCTGAAATCTCGTGTGTTTGTTCGTAGCCTCCAGCGATGGCCTCCAACCTACGAGCGATGGCCTCCAACTTACTTCCGTTCGCTTTCCAAGGACGTTGATGAGCTCCGCGACATTGAACTTGTACAGCTTCGCAATCCTGGTGGCGATGTTCTTCCGGGGCACCGTGGAGATCGCTCTCAGCATGGAGGCCATCCTGCGGGAGTGCTTTTGAGGGTGCTAGATTCTGTTTTGCGAAGAAAGGAAGGGCAAAATAAGAAGGCCCCTTTAAAGGGCCTTATTGAAGGGACCCTGACCTTCTTCCGTTTGTTACTTTTGTTTCTTGATTGTTGTTCCTCTGCTGTAGGTTCTTGTGAGCAATGAGTGTTAAAGGAGGGAAGGAAGAAGAGGGAGGAAAGGGTGGAAAGGATGCAAGGATCCAGGAAGGAACCCCAAACCATGTCCAAGCGATGGCGACCACCTGCGCGTGCAGTCACAGCATATAGTCACAGCACAAAACTGTTTCAATGTGGATATTTGCGACCATGTAAATATATACAAGCGAAAGAACAGATCCGTGCTGCTTCATGAAACCTTCTCAATGAAGCTTGTTAAGTTCGAGCCAACTTGGATCCTGGCCTCACGAAATTGGCAAGCGAGAGTAGACCCTGAGCCTGGCTTCGCGAAGCAGAGTGAAAGTGTTGTTGTTCCTTTTGGTCTTCAAGCGTTTTCAGGGTTTCTCTTGAAGAGTGCTCTGTGGTGCACTGCAAGAGTGTGTGCGTTTCATCTGTTGCCCGTGACTCGGATCGCCCTGTACTTGGCTTTTCTGAGGTATGCTTGCTTGTTTTGCTTGCCAGAAAACTGCGGATTATGTTGGAATCGAACTCCCGGTGAACACCTGAGACTTGAGCGCTTTTGGGCGACGAAAATAGTAGAGATCCATGATCATCCATCAGACTCGTGATCATCCATGACTACCTAATTATAGCTTCCAACCTAGAAGCAATGGCCTCCAACCTATAAGCAATGGCCTCCAACCTAGAAGCAATGGC